CTTTGTTTTTGTTTTGTTTTGTTTTGTTTTAGATTCCACATACGAGCGATCTCATGGTATTTTTCTTTCTCTTTCTGGCTTACTTCACTTAGAATGACATTCTCCAGGAACATCCATGTTGCTGCAAATGGTGTTATGTTGTCGGTTTTTGTGGCTGAATAGTATTCCATTGTATAAATATACCACCTCTTCTTTATCCAGTCATCTGTTGATGGACATTTAGGCTGTTTCCATGTCTTGGCTATTGTAAATAGTGCTGCTATGAACATTGGGGTGCAGGTGTCATTTTGAAGTAGGATTCCTTCTGGATATATGCCCAGGAGCAGGATTCCTGGGTCATATGGTAAGTCTGTTCCTAGTCTTTTGAGGAATCTCCATCCTGTTTTCCACAGTGGCTGCACCAAACTGCATTCCCACCAGCAGTGTAGGAGGGTTCCCTTTTCTCCACAGCCCCTCCAGCATTTGTCATTTTTGGATTTTTGAATGACGGCCATTCTGACTGGTGTGAGGTGATACCTCATTGTAGTTTTGATTTGCATTTCTCTGATAATTAGTGGTATTGAGCATTTTTTCATGTACCTGTTAGCCATTTGTATGTCTTCACTGGAGAATTGCTTGTTTAGGTCTTTTGTCCATTTTTGGATTGAGTTGTTTTTTTCTTACTTAGTTGTATGAGCTGTTTATGTATTCTGACAATTAAGCCCTTGTCCGTCTCATCTTTTGCAAAAATTTTCTCCCATTCCGTGGGTTGTCTTTTTGTTTTGCTTATGGTTTCCGTTGCTGTGTAAAAGCTTCCAAGTTTAATTAGGTACCATTTGTTTATTTTTGCTTTTATTTTTATTGGACTTCTAGCAAATTCTTAGTTACCCCTTTCCTTCTCATCTTGGAGACTGCCCCCAGGGACTCTGTGTCCAGCTAGGCTGATGGGAGCCCTGAGAGCCCAGCTGATGTGAAAATCAGTGGCTGCAACCTGCTGTGATGTTTATAATGAGGAAATGCTTAGGAGGGACATGACCAGGAGGGTGGACAAGTTCTTTTTTTTTTTTAGCAACGTGTCCTTGTGAAGAAAATGTTGATTTTCCCAAAGCATTGAAAGGGTCCTTCATGTCCTTAGAATTGTCCAAATATAAAGAATATTCAGATACATGCTGTGAAATTTTCACTCTATCAGGAAAAAGCACCTCCACACCCGAGAAAAGAAAGACTGAGAACACCTCATGGATTTAAGTGGGTTTGTTCTGATGGGCGTGCACCGGATTCTCACGGACCTGGAAAAATGTGTGTCAGGAACAATCTTTGCACTGAGGCAGAATCACACCACGTGAACACTCCATCCAAAGAAGAGTCTGTTCTGTGTCTTATAAGCCTGCTAAGGAGGGCGTTTCTAGGTCATCTTTGTTGGGATTTTTTCCCTCAGGGAATGAGGCTGAGCTCTCAGGTTAGTTAGCCCTCTTTCCCTACCACATCTTTGTGAGCATTTGGATAAACTAACTTGTTCTTCTCCACCGTCGCTCATGGTCGCTGACAGAACCTGAGTCCATCGGCCCTGGTGGGTAGACTCTAGGTAGGAGGCAGCTACTGATGTCAGTGCTCAGACAGTGCCGTGTGTAACAAGCATGCCCACGACGGAGGATGTTCACCAGTTAGCGACTAGATGGTGTTTATGTTTTTGTGCCTTTGATCTACATGTCTCTCCTTTGTGCTGAGACCCACTGCTCTCTCAGATAGCGGCTACTCAAAGACAGTGCATGCTTTCCACCAGCACACATTTTACTGACCTCAACTATGAGAGCAGCTGACAATGACAATATTACCGATTTCAGAGGTTGCTTTCTAGAGAGGTTTTATTTGCACAAGACTGAAGCTTGGTGTCTAGATTAGTACAAATTACATTGCGCATTTATTCCCTCCTGTAATACTTACAAACCTAGTTTTTACAAAGCTATGTATTTGCCTTTTGTTTTGGTGACTGTACATTCCAGAAATACAAATTAATTTTCATAGTGGCTGTTGATGGATGTAGGTGCAGTACTGTGAAATATGCATGTGAATTATTTGTACTGATTATTTTGAATTCTCTTTTTATGTAATTTCATTCTTTGAGTAATCTTGTATAACATGATTTTAATTCTATTATACAAATCCTTATTTATTTCAGAAGTCTGACATTACATGCTCTGGTTCAGAACCAAAGTGAATATTGAAGAAAACTTCCATGGTTTTTAGATTGTTGGGCTAAAATAAATCATTAATTTTTGCTGGAATAGTAATTTTGACATTATTGTAAGAGCTGGTCTGCTTTCTCACTCATGTCCAGTCTATAAATGTAGAGATACAGCTCTGCATCTCTGTATTTTAACACATACCTTCATTGCTTTTTCCCCATACGTGTTGGGTATATTTTTGGAGACGTTTCATAGGGGTTTGTCCAAGTACTTCATGAACATACAATAGAAGATGGAGGCGTCCCAGGCCCTGTAGGTTTGTGTTTGCTTATTTTCAATTTCATGTTGGCTTCTACATTCGTAGGTTAAGTTCTGTTAACTATTTAAAAAATACTTGCAGTGTGTCTGTCAGCAAAGTCAAATCTCTAACATTTTGTGTATCAGATATTTGACATATGTGAGCAGCAGTGAAACTATCACCAAACGAAGGCAGTAAACATACCCACACTCCTGAGCGTCCCCCAGCTCCTTTTGAACTCGTGTCCCTTCTCGCCTCTCTGAGGAGCTACTTGAGGGTGTGGTTGAGGGTTTCTAAAGATGATTCCCTGTGACAGATACACTGCGAATGTCTTTGAGGTTCCTCATTATCTCCAATATCTTTTCAGATCCTCCGCACTCTCGTTCTTTCCCATCCTGGGTCTGATGTTTATGAACTTCTGTGGAAGCTTATTCTCATTGCTGCCGCCTGGGGAGTTCCTAGTTTTCTTTCGTTCGTCTGGAGGACCATCGTCGCTGTGAGTATTACTAAAGTACCTGACAGTGTTCTTTTAATCACACCTAACAGGAATTTTTATAGTCACTGGACATTTTATTTGCCTGCCTGGGCCAGAGTCCAGGAGTCTTTTCTTTGTTCCCTTTTAGATTACTAACTTAAACAGAAATTAGTTTTGAAATGGAAATTTGTTGCAAAATACTATATAGTAAGAACTCATTGAGCAAGACAACAATATATTCTCAATGAGAAAATGAGAATTTATAAACTCTTCTCTTCAACAGCAAAACAGGAAGGTTAAGTATTTGGTGAGCCCATCTCTCTCCCAACCTGCCCCTGCCTGTGTGTTGGGTGACAGGGGACAGGGACGCTCAGTGTTCCGTGAGCAAGTGTGAAGTGAAGGGAATGTCTGTATCTTCCTGTTTGCCCTCCGTGGATGCATTCTTCTGCAGCCACGGTATTGCCCCTGGAGCTTCGACACTGTGATGATGCGCCGATATCTTGGCAAGGTTAGGGGCTGGCCTCAGCCTCTGATTGTCACTTAAAGTTTTGAATGAAGAAATATGTGTTAAGGGTCAGGGAAGTGTGTCTTTACATGGTATTACAGTGGAGTCCTGCCTGGGTTTTATTGAGCTATTTACTCCTCAGATGATGACTCATGTCTGAGTCAAGAAGCACGTTCGCTTCTTGAAAATGGTCGCTGTCTGTCCTGCTGCTGCGTGTGCTTTTGTTACAGCTATTGCTCACTTTATTCTCATCTGATGTCTCATTTGATGTCCGTTTGTTTTTAGCGGTCTTGACAAATCTTACGACCTCATATGTTACAATTGCTTATCAATTCAACACTCAACTCTGCATAAGATTTCAGAAAACCTTTCATTGAATGAAAGGGTGCATCTTAGTATAAAGGTTTTGCCTTTATTTTTCTTTTAGTTTCTCGTACCTGTCTCTCTCTCTTTTGAAGGTTACACAACAATCCAGGTTCTGGACTTCAGTGTGGATGTTTGGTTTGACAAAAGAAAAAATCAGATAAATGATGCATTACAAGAACATATTATGAAAATAATACAGTTCAGTGTTATTAAGTATGAATATGCATTATGAAAATTGAATAGATTGGTGTTTACTTAATAGTGTAAACAGATCTTTTGTTCTAAAATAAGTTATTTACCATTGTGCTATCAGAAATGGTGAGTGAAAGATCATGCCTTAAGTAGGAAATTCTGATTTTTCCTGATTTTTAATCACATGAATTGTTATGCTGAACCAAAGTGATAATTGTAATTTCAATGAATTACTGTTTTGATAGTTTATTAGAAACTATATATTTACTCATTATATGTTTTGACTTCAAATGTAATATCTCTTCCTCTCGTAGGTAGAGCCTCCAGTGACTCAAGGTAAGGTATTAGTGTTTAGTTTCCTTTGTAATATTTTCTCAGTACCGGGATCCGATGTGGGTTTTCATTCAACTAAGAGTAAACACAATGACTTCTTATGTCAGACTTCTTAACTGTTGAAAATTTTACTCCTGGGATGGTGTCTAAATGACACTGTAGAGGAAGTTGGCATCTATTGAGGTAAGAGACGAGGAGGGTCTGAGGAGTCGGGAGACTAGGATGAGTTTAACTTTGCATAAAACCTTTAGGAAGCAGGTGATGAAAAGAGTCTAATGTTCGGAGTGACTACCTGACGTGACCTGGCTCTTGGTGAAAAGGAAAGATGCTGAAACACCACTGGAGCCTGTCAGGACTCTCTAGGCTGAGGGAGGGATGCAGGTGTGGCCAGGTGTGTGTGTCACAGCCGAGGGGAAACCGTGGGCTGTGACTCAGAAGTGAAGGGGGCCATTCATGGCAGTGGGGACTTAATGGAAGTGATTCAGCCTGAGGATGCTGCTTTCTGTGCAGGCTTCACAGGCTCTGTTGATCGAGTAGGGCTGCGTGTGGTGGGCAGGGTGGCTGCCCTGCGCTCAGTAGGCCCTTGAGGGCTGCTGTTGGTGACAGTGGATGCAGAAGGGCTGGTGCTGAGCAGAGGGATCTCAGCATCAGAGCGTCCCCGCTGGGCAAAGAGAAGATGCATGTGTGCTGTGTGGTCAGATGAGGGACTTAGATGCCCGAGAGAGGAGTCTGGAGCTGAGGGCTGCATTCTAGAGCGTCACATGTGGAGTCGCCTGTGGCCGGCTGCTTTATATGTGCTGTTTTCATGAAGCAGTGATGGGAACATTCTCATCCTGGGGATGGAAAAGCTTGTCATTTAGGGACTGTGTGTTATCCAGGTTCTCCAGTGACTAGGTGGGGAAGCCCACATGGTACCAAAGTGCTTAATTCCAGCGACCTTGTCCTCCAGGGCCCCCAGCATGGTTTTCATGAAGGACAATCTGCCAGGCAGCAGGACGACACTGGGGGCCTGTGCAGGCCCAGTCAGGCGACATGTTGAACTTGCCTTCTGTGGTGCTGCGGATAGGATGGGGCCTGGCTGTTGGGGGAACCTGCATGGGATGAGGGTTCTTTTTTTTTTTAAGCAGGGGCATGTTTACTTAGTAATTGGAGGAGAGAATGTTAAGGGGGAAGGATGCTTGGTTTTTCTATTTCATCTCTGGTGATGTCAGAAGTATTTGAATGATTGAATTTCCTAAGAATGGTGCTTATAGCTGGGAGAGAATTTAGGAGAAGACTTTATTGTGTTTCTGCATCTTTGAAAAAAATTGAACTAGGAATCTGTGATCTCACATTTAGAATGCCACTAAGATTTGCTTCCTTTAGGCACAGTAGTAAAGTTAAAAAGTTAATTATACTCATAGTGCCAGCCAGAGATGTCTCTGCTGCTGCTAAGTCGGGATAATTCTATTCTACTGGGTTTTCCTGACAATATGAGAAATTTGTTTATCTCCTTTTAGTTACTTTAAAGCAGATAACTGGAAAGATCAAGAGTCTTGAGAAAGAAAACAGAGAACTTGCAGAAAATATATCTGCTTGGAAGCAGAAGGTATTGTTGTCCTTTTGATATTTTTTTTTTTATGATTTCACCTTCAGTTCCTTCCCCCTTTGGTAGTTCAGTTATTTGGCTCTCTTTTTTTTCATCCTACTGTCCTGTTCTGTATGTTCTATAAGAGGTCTCGGTTCAAAGCAAGTGTCCTAGATAAAAAAATGTCTTCTGTAGAGCACAGGGAACTCTACTTGATATCTTGTAATCTATAACGAAAAAGAATGTGAAGACAAATACAGGTATATATATGTGTGATTGAAACATGATGCTATACGTGAGAAACCGACACATTGTAACTGACTATATTTCAGTAAAAAAAACAAACAAAGCAAGTGTCATAGATGTAAAGCACCACTTTCTGTATTAGTGGAAGGGGTCACACACAAGATAGGTTCGGCTAGCAGTGTGATTGATATTTGTAATTCTGTTTCCTTTCTTACATATTTGCATAGACCGATGATGCAAAGAAATACTTAGGGAAGACCACTAGGCAAAAGAAGATGCTCTCTGAGGAAGCACTGAAGTTTGAGGTACAAACCTTTTCTTACCTAGATTACATTCTGAAAACAAATGAAAGTAATGAATAATTGTTACTGATTAAATATGTTTTTTTGAAGAACTTGGAAACTATTGAGAAGGATAATGAATATTTGAATGACATGATTCAAATTGCTCGAGCTAAAGTGCAGGCAGCGAGGGACCAGAACGCCAAGCGTCTGCGCTCGGTAAGAGTTTGGCTGCTGTGCTGACCGCAGCTGGGCTCCTGAGGCTTGTGCCCTGGGCGAGCTGCGCACTCCCGCTCCTCTTGCTTTTGGCCACAGCAGAGTGTGGGAGCTTGGGAGCAGAACCTCCCTGTGAACAATGATCCAGAATTTCACGGACTAAAACCTTCGTGACTTTTTAACTTCAGAGACTAGGAAATACGTCTTGTTTTCACAACCTAGGGAGTTTTCTCTCCACTCACACTGCCCTCCAAGATACATAGAAAATGCCAGGAAACACCGGAGAGGTGAAGGAAGTTACTAGCCGAGCTGTGCAGCCCGTTGCCCTGTTTAGGTTAAACAGAGAATTTTCCATGTGAATTTGGGTAAACTTTATGTTCCACCAGGGACACTGATTTGTGAGCTCTTTGACATGAGCAGTTTCCCACCCTTGCTTTCCGCTTGTCGTCCAGCCATGTCTTCCATTGTCCAGTGAGGAGGAAGTCTATGGAGGCGAGGGAATATCTGTGCCTGAAGGTCTCTCTTTGTTCTGCATTTCTTCATGGGCTTGACATTTGTCCTGGGCCCAGCCTGGATCAGCTGCCATCCCAGGAAACTTAGGGGTGGCTGTGAGTCCTGGCTGAGAAGGGACAGGATTCCACTTGGGTTGAAGAGAAGCAACTGCCCATCAGAACAAACCAAGACTTGCTGGAAGAGCTTGACAGGCTGGTGATGGAACAGGACCAGCTGAAGAAGGAAAATGCAAGACGCAGGGGGCCAGAACGAGCTGCTAGGACGCCCAGTGCTAGAACTTGAAGAGGCCCTGTCTGCTGTAAACTCTCAGATGGAGCAGACACTGTCTTCGACCCCAAACTGAAATTCAGGGAAAGTCCCAGATGCTTTCAAGCATGTATAAGGGGGCGTATGACACTTGTTTTCCTTTCTTTTTAAAATTTGTATGTTCAGAACCATTTCACTGCCTTAATATCTTCTGGAGAGAATGCTCACCAAAGTCTTTGGACATGTACCAGAGCTGAT